TTACGCTATACTAAATAAAATAGACTATTAATGTAACGCTAAATATATAAATCAAATAAACTTTTTTTAAAAAAAAAATAACTTTCTATTTAACATTACGAAAAAAATTTTTTTTAATTTTTTAAATTTGAAAAATGCACAAACATCTTCTTTCAATATTTAAACCATTTTCTTTACGAAAAAACTCAAACTATTCTAGCTGCAATATTCTTCAAAAGCATAAACGAATATTTTTAACTAAAATGGGTAAGTGAATAACATATATGTTAATAACAATTACAATGTATTATATCGAATGCCTTTATATTTATAGTAGAAAATGATGAGAATGAAGATAACGAGAATTACGATTACGGTAGTGATAATGATGAGGATGATGACAATTTATATGAGAATGAAATAGAAGATACAACGGAAAATATTGATGGGGATTTGTATGATCGCAATGATGATAATGATACAGATGAAAACGAAATAGATGATACAGTGGAAAATGATTTTGGAGAAGATGATCATAACAAGAATGATGAAGAAGAAGTCATGTATGAAGATGAATATTTCGAAGATTCGATAGTTGACAAATCAATAGATTACGATCAAATGTCAAATATAAATGGAAACTTTGCACCTTACTTTGAAAATACAACCTCTGCATTATTATTTTGCTGGATGCAAAAGCATAATATATGTAAGTGAAGTTGTTAAATTTAATCTATTTGTTATTACATTAATTAAAAATATTATATTTTTATAGCAACAAGTGTATATGATAATCTAGTGGAAATTTTGCAACATTCAGCTTTTAATGTAAAAGATGTTGTAAAGAATGTGAGAAAATTTCAGCAATGGAGACATTGATTACCATTAATACCAATAAGGACATACAATATTAAAATTAATCAAAAGAAGACTTCATCTACATCTAAAAAAAACAAGGCTAGTTATTATCTATCTATTTTTGATATCATCTGGAATATTCTAAATAACCGATCACTATACGATACGTTATACTTCAGACCAGGAATTAATGTTGAAGCCAAAAAAGAATATTGGCATGGTGATCTTTAGGCAGAATCACCATTATTCGGCCAAGATAAAATAATTATTAATTAAGGTATTATTGATTATAAATAAATTATTATTCGTATGTTTTATTGATTTTAATGAATATATTTCATTCTAATTTTTAATGATTATAATAGAATTCTATCATTCTGGTGAATTCATCATATATAGAAAAGATAATAGTCGAAGACTTAGACGAATACGATCAATTATTTCCATTAATAATGAAATTCGAATAAAAATACAAAGGATTTATATATATAATGAATTACCAAACCATT